GAGGCTGGGACTCTACCATTCAAACTGGTTTTTACTGGTCAACAGAGAAAGAGGGAATAAGCATTTATATATCACCTACAATATGCCAGGTACTATGCAAGCCCTTTATAAGTGTTATCTCATCTGAGCTTCACAACAACTCCGAGGGCTAAATGCTGTTATTAGCGTCATTTTACAGTTGAGAAAACTGAGGCAAACAGAGATTTAAGTGACTTGCTAAGGGTCAAGGGGCTAATAAGTGTCAGAGGTCAAATGTGAACTCAGGTCTTGCTGACTCCAGGGCCAGGCCTTTATTCACTGTGCCACCTACTTCCTTCTCTGAAGGGAGAGCCCATTACCTCTTACAGATTTAATTGTTGAGAAGTCTTTTTTTGTTTGTTTGTTTGTTTCATGACATTAAGCCTAAATTTTCCTTCTTGAAACTTTTGGCCATTGATCCTGGCTCTATGCTCTGGGGCCAAATAGGGCAAGTCTCATCCTCTTTCCATATGATAACCCTTCATAAACTTAAACATAACTATCATATTCCTACTGAGTCTTTTCTTTTCCAGAATATGTCAGCAATGGCCCTTCCGACTTCCAAAATTATGCAGAGATGTTTCCTATTATTATAAATTTGCAATTACCATTAGCACAAAATCTCATCCTTTCATCCCAATCTCAGCCAGATTCTGTTCCATATTCTCCAAACTAAAATTAGATACCCTAAATTTTAGTGATAATAACATTGTGTATAATTCTCAGATTTTTCTCCTAATCGATATTGCTGTCACGCTTGGTAAATCCTTCCAAAATCCTATATGTAAAGAAACAAATGAGTAGGTTTTAGGTAAAGAAGTGGAGGAACTATCTTATGTGCTTGGGAGCTCCTATTCTTTGATGTCAGCCCCAAAAGTGACTTCTGATCTTTGCCATATCAGATTTAGCTATTATAATGTCAATAGAGTCTATATAACTCTAAAAACTAAGCACCAGATTCGTCTGTTATTTTGTTTAAATGTCTCTCCAAGGGGCAGCTAGGTGGTGCAGTAGATAGAGAACTGGCCCTGAAGTCAGGAAGACCTGAATTCAAATCTAGCCTCAGACACATAATACCTACCAGCTGTATGTCCCTGGGCAAATCATTTAATCCCATTGCCTAACCCCCCCCCCCAAAAAAAAATATATATATATCCAATAAGCAAATTTCCAACTCAATTGTTAATTAACATAGCCTCCTTTAATTAAGAACAAATTTTATTTGTGTAGATACTCATTTATCTACACTCTTATGAGAAAGAAATAAAAAAAAACTATAAGAGAGATTCAGAAAAGCAACCTTGAGGGAAAGTTATTCAGTATAGATTCAGACCAGTCTTCTAAGTTTTAAGTCTCCAGCATCCTACCAGTGAGCTGCTACGGGGTTGTTCACAGAGAGATGGTAGTGTGGTGTAGAGGTGAGAGCATTAGACTGGGATTAGGAGATAAGAGTTCTAGTGCCAATTTTTACTGTCTTTCTCTATGACTTTGGAACAGTCACCTCTCTTCTCTGGACTCAGATTCCTCGTCTGTAAAACAAAGTGGTTGTTCTCGTCCCTTCTGGATGTGACATCTGATATGGTTCTCAGATCAACTCCAAGTTAAGTTGCCTTTTGGGCCAGAGTTCATCTCATAGCAGAAAGGTGCTCAGGACAAGATGGATTTTGTGTCAGAATCCCTTGTGTTGTCACCTATCTTTGTGACTTTGACTAAGTCATGTCATATCTTTGGACCTTGGTTCTCTTATCTATAAAATAGGATGGGGGCAGCTAGGTGGTGTAGTTACTAGAGCACGGGCCCCAGAGTCAGGAGGACCTGAGTTCAAATTCAGCCTCAGACACTTACTAGCTGTGTGACCAGGGGCAAATCACTTAACCCCGGTTGCCTGAAAAGAAAAATAATTAAATAGAATGGCTTCTGAGATTCCTTCCTGCTCTAAATACAGGCTCTAAAGTGAGTTATATCATAATAATAGTGAACCTGGTACACTATAAGAGTTTGAAGTTTGAAGCATCAGAAATTAAATTAATTTAATTTAGCTCTAATTCCAAGTATATTTTGAAAAATATAGGCAAACACTCATATGATAATATAGCTGTAGTGGTAAGTATACTTGAAAACTGAAACCAGTACCTAGCAACCTCTGGTGTCAAGGAAAATATTCAGTTAACTAGAAGACCCCATTCCCTAACTAGAGTACTTTAAATAAAGAGGAGTTTATTGATTTTATTAATTCTAAAATATATTAGTTAATATCAAAGCCCTCTGTTGTGAAAATATAATAATGTGTCATCTTGTTGCATTAGAAAACAGAGTAAGTGGTTAAGAAATAATTACAATTTACTATATTTGTATCACTATGTTCCTCAAATGTCTCCATTTAAAAATTGTTATTTTCTTTTTTATACTCTCACAGCATTCCCCAGAAAGCAGAGGGTAGAAAGAAGTCATTGATGTTGGATTCCAAGGCCAAAGAGTAGAAAATGAGGCAAAGAAAAAGAGTAATATAACATGGCTGTAATCATGCTGTGAGCAAGGACTAGACTCCAAGAATCTTTGCTCTGTTTTGTTTGAAAATTAAGGTGAACTTAGAGACAATGGTCTATGCATGATCAATTTATTAGTTAGGTTACCAGAAACCAATAAATTGGGTCAGTGGCCTCTCTTAATAACCAAAGACCCTGAGGTAGGGCTTATCAGCCTTCTTATAGTTTTGGGAAGTACAAGAGAACAAAGAACAGAATTGGGTGGGTGGGGAAAACAAGGTAATTGGTCATAGGGCTGGCAGCACCATGTATGGGGACATGAGTGGTTGGAAATTAAAAATGAGGGGCTAGCAACAACCCCCTTCTTCCCTCCTGTGACTAGGAAATGTTCATTGTTTGAACCCATCAGACTTCTTTGGATAACAATCCAGACATAGCTGGGTCATGTAAAGATACTAGACCAGATTCCCTGGTGTCCACCTGCATTCCTCAAGGATAACAGATTTCCTTGAGGCAAGAATAGAACAATGATTAGTTTAGCAGGAAAGCTAAACTTCTAAATGTAGCTCATAGGCAAAGAGACAAAGAAATGTGGCTTCAGCAATCATACAAAATAGGACAGTAATACACAGAATAGGATCAGTTATAGAATAGAATCAATTATAAAATCATACAGAATCAATTTAATTTCCTCACCTCCCTCTCAGAGAAACCTTAAAGGAGTTATTTGGAAACTGTTCCCTGTTGGCATTTCCTTGGGAATTGTAAGGACAATTCTTAGGGTTTCCCTTCCAGTTTTAAGGGAGTTCTGGTTATATGTCCATTAGCATTCTTTCTGGACCTCTAAAAGTTGGCAGTAGTATCAGGTGACAGATGGAAAAGGGTACCACTCAATTGGGGTCCTCAGCTAACTCCACAGGGTACTGGAAGACACTCAAATCAAGTTGTCCTTTCCGAATCATTTCCCACGTGTACCAGTAGCAAAGAGGCAGCAAGGCATTTTGGATAATAGATCCCTTGGTCTTTTTTTTTTTTTGTCTTTGGCTAATTAAGAACTTCTCCCCAGTCCATTCCTGTTTCTCCCTGATTCCACTTCCAGGATCAATGATTCAGTTACACCATCCATTTCTTACTGTCAACAACTATTTGCCCTAATATTTAACTACCCCCTGCACATTTCTCCCTCATGCAGGGAGCTGAGCCAAACTACCAAGTCTTGATGCGTATCCTCATCTCTCGAAGTGAGACTGACCTCCTAAGCATAAGAGCAGAGTTCAAAATGAAGTTTGGAAAGTCCCTCTATTCATCTCTCCAGGTCAGACCAGGCTAAGAGCCTCACCCTTGAAGGGCAATTCACCATCTCGAGCCCCAGAATCTATCTTCACATTCTGTCTCCATTAGTCCTATGGGTTCAGTTTAGGTTTAGTGGCTTCAGGGAGGATATTTCTCACTTGGGCTGAGAATGGGGTGGAGTAGGGGATCAGAACCGTGTTCGGAATGAGCTTACTGATACTTGATTTCCTTCTCTTCAGGAGGTCATGAGAGGGGACTGCCGGTCAGCTTTCCTAGCCCTATGTCGGGCTGAAGACATTTGACACACATCCCCCAGAACCTTGTGTCTACCACTTCCATCTACCCCTCTTGTCATTTCCAAGGATTAGAGACATGCAGGCTTGGCTGGGCCTTCTGGGAGGTCATTTTGTCTATTCCTTTGCCTTTAAATAAGATGACTTCACTAAAATCAAACAGGAATCTCTCATATGCTCCTAAATTTCATCTACAGCCTGTGTTAGGACTCTACTAAAAAAGGTCCCTGAATCCTATACCCCAAAGTTAAGGTTAATCTGCTGTTTGTGCCTGTAGAGTTTAGGCACTTGTGAAATTCTCCACTGACCATATGTACCTTGTAAAGACTGGCAAGTTTATGGTTTGTCTTCCTTTGGGTGGAGAACTTAGGAGCTAGAGAGGCTTTGATCTCCACTTTTTTTTTTTTTTTTGATCTGCACTTTCAAAACACAAACAGGAACTGTTTCTAGATCCACCTCCTCTACTCCAGACCCTCCTCTCCTTCCCACCACAGCATTCATCCTTCCTCGGGGAAGAAAGACAATAATTTAAATCAACAATTAAAGTAGTCACAGGGCAGCAGATACCAAGTCAGAGATTGCAAGAGAGGAAATATCTTCTATGTTAGGTGGGGTATAGGGAATGTGGACCAGGATGCCTTTTAAAGTTTCTGTGATCAACATGTAGCCTGACCCAGATCTCATACACCAATGTTGATTTAAAGTGTTGATTTAGAATTGGAACACTAAATATATAGGACCTACAGTGAAAAAAATAAGAGCGGCAAAATGGAATTTCAGCTCCCTCTGTTGGCCCTAGGATAAGCAGTCCTCCACATTCCTCACCCTTTTTCCACACCTCACCATGACAAATACTCTACTCCACCCTGCCCCATAGGATGATATGAAGCGTAAGGTTGAAAAAAAAAAAAACTCAGGAAAGAAGTTTTATTTTCAAACTTCTAAGAAGACATTAAAAATGCCAGGTAGAAACCCAAACAAAACCCTGAAACCAAAATGAGAAGCATGCCCTGGGGACAGCCAAGAGAAGTCCAGCCAACTGGAGCTGGGGAGAAAGGGACACTCTAGACTAAGAAATTTCACCCAGGAGCCTGAGTCTGTGCATTAGTGTCTCTGTATTATGGAGCAGATGATGGGGCAGCATGAACCCTGCCCCTTATCTCGATGCTTCCCTGCATAATGGGGAGAAGGATCGGGGACAGCAGCAGGTGGGTGTGAGATGTAGGAGGCACAACTCTCGGACAACACTGAGAATAGCCCCGTGGACTTGATCAGCTCTTGCCATGGCAGTTGCCCCCTGCTCCCTAGTACCCCACTACTAAGAAAACCCAGAAGGGCTAGGGTGAACAGGCGCAAATGGAGGAACCATAATGAGAAGCCTCTCAAAGAAGTGGGGCACATCAGACTAGGCACAACAACTTGGCTTGGGATGCAGCTATAGGAGGACACAGTCTGACTCCTGCTTTGATCGCTGCCTACGTTCTCCGGTTGGACGTCCAGATGAGGCTCCTCTCTCCTGTATCAACATGAACAACTGGTCAATTATCTACCCTGGAAAAGTATCAGAAAAAGTAGAGTTTGGGGTTCTAGGCTGATGGGACGTTAGAAAAGACAAAAGTGAAAGGGAGTACTGATAGAATCGTAGGAGGGGAGAGTATTGGAAGGTTTGGGAGTTTGAAGATGAGAAAAGCAGAGGTGAGAGACACTGAGATTAGGGACACTTGGGGAAAAAGACTAGCATCAGGGAGACCAGAACAGGCCCTGCCTAGGAGGGAGTACCAGGACTAGTGCTAGGGTGGGTTACCTGTGGGGATGGGGCACGGGGTGGCATGGGCAGTGCCTGCTGTTGCTGGTACTCTTCCTGCTGCAGCTGCCTGGCCAGTTCCAGATCACTGAGACCCAAGGCCCCTCGTTGCTGTTGTTGCTGGAGGGACAAGGCAATCATATAGTCCTGAAAAAGAAAACGGGCCGAGGACGAAAGACACTAGGGAAACTCAGTTCTAGCTTTACCGATAAATCCGTCATCCCCCCCGCCCCACCCCAGATCACCAGGCCTTTCTCCCTTGTAGCCAGAGACAAAACCAAACCAAAAAACCAGTTAACCTTGTATAGTCAGACAGTAAGTAGGGAAATAGAAAGCAGGAGAAGAAAGAAAGAAAGTAGATGGATAGCCCTAACCTGAGATCCACAGACTCCTGAGTCTGATTTCAGGGGGTTTGTAAACTTGGAATGGGTAAAAAAAATACAATTTTATTTTCACTAACCTCTAACTGAAATCTCGCATCAATTACAAATTGGGGGAAACAAACAAACAAAAAATATTGTGAGAAGGAGTCTGTAGGTTTTACCAGAGTGCCAAAGAGGTTGATCACAGAACCTGGACTAGATCATCAAAAACAGATAAAACATCAAATTACGTCCCTTATTCCTTACCTGCTGTTGCCCCATGAAACCAACATGAGCCCCTGCCTGACCCACTCACCTGATCCACTTGTCGTTGGGTCTCCTGAGAGTGAGCCCCACTCCCCGCTCCCGCCTCCTTGCCCAGAGCTTGGCTTAGGTGGAAGTCAGAGTCACAGAAGCAGCTGTCTCCATCCACGTTGTGCAGGCTCTCCCAAACCACCTGTTCCTCCTGCAGAAAGCCCTGATCCGTGACCAATAGGTAGAGATGACTCTGTCAAAGTAAAAGAAAGTGGGGCAGGTAGGTGGTGCAGTGGATAGAGCTCCAGCCTTGGAGTCAGAAGGACCTGAGTTCAAATCCGGCCTCAGACACTTGACACATACTAGCTGTGTGACCCTGGGCAAGTCACTTAACCCCGATTGCCTCAGCAAAAAAAAAGTAAAAGAAAGTGTTCAAAAAACAGTTGATGGGAAGGAGTGTTGGGGATTTTGTGGAGGTACAATTGCTAGGAAGCAATTGGGGCACATTTGAATCTCCTGGGTTTGGTGAAAGAGTGTGAGCGTAATTTTGGTTATATGCATCTTTTTTTTTTATCATATGTTTCCATAGGATCATAGATTTAGAGCTAGAAGGGGCCTTAGTGCATTATTTGGGAATAAGGGGATATCTGAGCATAAATGTATCTTAAGTATGTGATCCCTGTGGTCCTGTTCTCCCTGCTTCTTCCTCACTGCAATGCCTGCTACCCAAGGGCTATGGAGATGGAGTCCAAATTCTTCATTGAAGGACATTAGCTTAAACACAGTGAACTGGGAGAATATTATGTAGGAAAGAGGTCATTGGGAATACACAAGCCCCTAACCCCCTGAAACCTCTATCACCTTATGCTTGATCATAGTGCTAAAGTGATTGTTTCGAAAAAAGACACTGAGTTCTCCTTCCTTGGCAGCTGCTGTTAGCTCACATAGTCCATGGTATGTCAACTGTGCTGCTGTCACTTCCAGGAACTGCTCTGCGATTAAGCCTGGCAAGGAAAACACAGATTGGGATGAATTTTGATGTAGATCCAGAGTTTGAAGCTGAAAGGATCGCCCAGAGATGATCCTAAAACTCTGGGGGCCCTTTAAAGTGCAATTCTTTTTACCTCCCCAAACATTACCTCCACCTGCCCTGTTGCCTGCCTCATTCTCCCCTCCCCATAAAGCAGGGGGTGTGTTCTAATGGTAGAGAGTAGGGGGCATTACCTTCTGTCACGAGGTTGGTATCATTTGAATGCTTACAGGTGATGATTTTCTCCACCAACTGATTGTAGCTCAGTTTGCCAACTGCACTCACAGCCTCAGGGCTCTACAAGGATGATGAGGTTGCGTGAATGAGAAGAACCCCCTCCCCACCACCCCAGGGACGTAGGATGCCTCCTATATCTCACCTTGGCTACAGTAACATGACCAAAGGTGCCCGATCTCTCAACTCATAAAGAACTGGTACAGGTTTGCACGTGCTATTTATACTTCTTTTTAATGTCTTTTGTTTAAGGTTAATCTGCCCAGAAATTCCCATCAACCATTCTGTATTCTAATAGCCCCCTCAGCCCTCTTCCTCTCCTTTCCCTCTTAACCCCCATTCTGTTCCTGCTGCTCTCCCCAGCACCTTGTCTTGCTTCAGTTTTGTTTGGAGAAATAGAACTCCTTGTACCCTCACCTGTGGATCTACCAGCCAACCATGGTAGAGGGGAATTCCAAGTAGGTCAAAGACACTGCACTCAGGTGTATATTCAAAATCAGAGACGCCTGTGAACCGCACGTTGACATCCAGACCCGTGGCCAGTTTGGGTAGTACTGTCATTGCATCATCTACATTCTGGGGGCGGGGGGGGGGGAGGGAAGAGACAAAGAAGTTAGCCCATACCTCCACACATCTCCAAGAAGAGAACAGAATCCTGCTATTTCTGAACTCCCTAGGCCCAATAGTCTTGATTCACCTTCCCTCGAACCTTGCATGATTCATCAAAACCCTTCTGATCCCTGCCTTTGCTTCATCAACCCAAACAGATAAGGATCTTTCCAGGAGAAAGAACCCCTGCCCTTAAAAATGGGGAAAAGGGAAATACACTAAGGAAAGAGGGGAGAAGGTTTGTCTAAAGTGCCCAGTGGTGAATTGCCACCCTCCATTCCCTATAAATCTTCAGATCTCTATCTTGGAAGTCCCTCCTGCCTTACCTGCTGAAAGTTTAGCTGTAGTGCTTCTGACTTCTCTTGTGGCTTGATGGATAGTAGACAGTCTCCTACAGTAGAAAGTCCTTTATGAACTAACCCTCACAAACCTCCCAAACAGGTTCTCCCTTCCCTTGCAGAATTGGAGATCCAGAAGAGAAGCCAGATATGAAGCTATCTTAGAATGCATCTCGTTTCAACCTCCCATTTTATTAGATGAGCAAACAAGTCCAGGGAGGCTAGGCAGAAAAGTAGTAGCCAAGCAACAGCTTGAATTCAGGTCTCCTGATGACCAACCTGATGTTCTTTTACCAGCCAGACTCATAGAAAGTGTCTCACAAGGAAAACCCCTTGCTCTTCCGAATTTCAATTCTAGACAAATCAACTACCTGCAGAGCTGCATTGAATACCACTCCAGTCCACATGCAACTCACTCACCAAGATGTGCCATTAGCTCATCTGAAGTGATCACTTCCTTTTGAGGGGCCAGCTTCACCTGAAGACAAGAAGGAATGCCCAAAGAATTAATGGTGTTTCTGTCCTTTCACAAGTTCCAGAACACAAAGCATTGTAGAAAAAGGGAGCTATGGGTGGTGGGTAGGCTAGGTGGATGAAGTGATATGAATAAAAACATCTACAACTACTGTTAAAAAAAATGAGATTAAATATCAGGAAAAACTTCTCCTTTTCAAGGGGATAAGACAAAGAAGAACGGGATCTATCTTTGAGTTACTGAAACAGATGGCATAATGTGAAGTTCTGTTACCATTTGAAAGAAAAAGGAATGACGTGGAAGGTAGCTAGAAAAGGAGGCATTCTACACTTCCCCTCAGCAGAAACTCCTCCTGTGCCCCCCTTTACATGTATATATATGCATACCTTCCACTGAAGAAAGAGGATGTTCATGATGGCAAGCAGTGGACAAGGCCCATTGGTGCTCTGAGTGATAATGGGTGTCCGCTCCCCCTTCCAGGGGATCCATTTCACACAATAAAAGTCAGGCTCAAGCTGATGGTTTGAAGGAGACTGGGGCAGCTCCTGAGGGCTGGGCTCCTCCTTCACTGCTTCTTCTGAGTTCTGGGTTCCTAGAGCTGGTCCTGGTTGCTGTAGATCATCTTCTGGAGGGGGTGACTCCAAGTTACCCTTGTCCTGGGCGAGCAGTGAGACTTGGTCTATTGGTTCCTGCCCTCCAGCTGCACCCTTAGTATCTTGAGTATCTTTGTCTTTAGGGTCCAACTCTGACTCTGACAGGACTTCATTATTTTCAACGGTGTCTGCTTCTGGGGTCCTGATTTCATCAGAGGATGGCTGGCCAGGCTGAGGGTGCTCCATGGCTAGAAGGAAGCAAGTCGGTTGTGTTCCACAGGTGAACCCTCTCCAATGACTGCAAGGATACGTTCAGTCCAGGCTTGGTTATCAGCAAAGTGAATAGTTCAGGGAAAAGTTAAGCGTCAGATATAGGTAGAGCTAGGGAAGTCTAGGAAAAGGAGAGTAGTGACAGTGATGAAAAGCTGGGTGTGGTTCAGGCACCTCTACTGGGTACAAACAGGACTAACTTCTTTTTTTGGCTTGTATAAACAAGAGGGTCACTGTCTGCCTCTATCTGGCTGTTACTAGATGGAACTAAAGAGGAGAAAACATACAAATATGTGGTGGATTACTCCAGTGAAATCAGGAGCGCAGACTGGAATCAGCTCTCAAAAACAAAGAGAATAAGAAGAAGAGAAAAGGAACAAGAATAAGAAGAGAAACAAGGGGACTGAGCCACACAAAGGAGATAGAGGAAGAAAACCCCCCCACCAAACAGCACTAATTATTAAAATTTTGGTGTTCTGCTAACCTGATGAAGAACATCAAGACAATAATCCCAGCCATGACTCTCAGAAACCATAACTCTTAGAAAGAAGAGGATTGAAATCATTGTCTGGACCCCTCTGTCTTTTTTTTTTTTTGACAAGGCAGGGGGGTGAAAAGTGACTTGCCCAGGGTCACACAGCTAGTAAGTATCAAGTGTCTGAGTTCAGATTTGAACTCAGGTCTTCCTGAATCCAGGGCTGGTGCTCTATCCACTGTGCCATCTAGCTGCCCCTTGGACCCCTCTGTCTTACACCAAGGCCCTGCTACCTGCCTGCCCAAGAGATACCTTGAATAGACAGAAGCTTTATGCTTTTCCTCAAAGAACAAATTATCTGCTTTCTCCCTTCTTTTTCAGAAGGGGTCAAAGAGTGAATAAGTTTAAGGTACTTGGAGTTTTTAGAAAAGATGGATAATAAATTAGAATAATGCCCCCTTTAGGGCATTGAGGGACATTTTATGCTTTTCTGAGAAAACCTCCTTTCCTTGCATGGCCCCAAACTGCAGCAGAAGAGTAAAAGATAGACCTTGGGAAGGACTTCCCTGTAGGTGAGGAAAAGAAATATAGGAATAAGTTATGGAGGGGGCAGCTAGGTGGTGCAGTGAATAGAGCACTGACCCTGGAGTCAAGAGGACCTGAATTCAAATCCGGCCTCAGACACATAACACTTACTAGCTGTGTGGCCCTGGGCAAGTCACTTAACCCCCATTGCCCAATTTAAAAAAAAAAAAAGGAATAAGTTATGGAGACTAAATTGAAGCCCTGATCATACACTATGATCTCCAGCCCCAGAGCACAGAAGCAATTCCTAAAATAGTAAGGAAACCTTTCTGGATTAATTGGAAGACAGGGATAACTTTCCTCCCAACTCTACTTCATCAAATACGTTCACCTCTTTTGAACCTCACCCACCCCATACATATATACAACATGCATTTCCCCCCTTGATTGTATATAATGAATAAGGTCAGGGAATTCCATGATTAACTTGTGAGGCTCTATACAGAGATGAACCTTTGTCTGAGACTTTAATTCTATCTCTCCACAGATGGTGTGGACATGTTCATTGGCATCCGTAGATATATTGATAACTCACTGAGGGCGAGTGATTGAATCTTATAGATTGGAGATTGGTTTAGGTTGTTGTGGATTGATTTGGAATAGATCAGTTGACTCAGTCATCAGGTCAGAATACTCCTTTGTGCAGGGCCTATGAACTAAAACAGACATACCAAGCCTTTCATCCTTTTTGTCTTTTTGGAGAACAGAATAGAGAGTAAGACCTGGGCTCTGAGGGTTCCCAAATCCATCTTCCCTTCTACAATGACTTCCATTGGGCAGAAATACATGGGAGGTGCATTACTATCATCCATTTGGCCTAAGAGGATTGTTCCCAGAGCAAAAATCCAAGAAGCCCAATACCTCCTGGACGGAGCGGAGATTTCCTGGTCAATGTCAAGGTCCTGGTCAGTATGACCCTAGAATCCAGCCTTCTCATAAGATAAAGGGGCATTTCCTGGACAATATCAACCTTGGGATTGTTTTTCTAATAACTTCAAGTCTGAGAATTTTGGTATTTAGGCTTTTACAGATAGAACGGAAGTTATTGGGTAGCACCAGCCTCTTAAGGAAGAAGAAGAGGATTATACATATGACTCCTTGAACGGGAAGAGCAGCAAGAGAATCAAGCTGCAACATGAGGGAGCAAAAGCTCTTTTTATTGTTCTCTACTATCATGAATTATTTGGATGGTGTAGGTCCATTGGGAAGGAGGTACATATCTAGCAATGCTCTTCCTTTCTAGGGGTAGTCTGAGACGCTAATGCTTAATGCCTAGATGAAGATGAAACAGAAACTCACCAGAATATTTGGGGTTTGTCTCCCTAACAACCTCAAGTTCATTTCCCATCCTAAGGAATTTGAACCAGGGTGGTACTAAGACTCTGGAGGACCACGTAGGCCCTTTGAGGAGGGTGGGACTCACTGGCAAGGGAAGGAGAATCTTATTGACTTCTTAGAGACAGTGAATATTTGTTTTTGCATTTTCTAAGGAGCAAAGTCTGTCCTGTACTCAATATGCACTATTACCCTGAACGCCTGTACAGGAGCTAGGGATCCTTTTACCCCCATCTTTGGAGACTGAGTTTGAATTATAGCATGAAATTTCCCAAAGGCAACTCATCAGGAATGATAGAAGACAAAGAGACAAGGCTTATGTGCCTGCATCCAGTTGTGAACTCAAAACTTAAAAGGTTAAGCTTCAGGTTATACATGACTGGGTCAGTAAATAAATAAGTAATTTACTTGTTTAATGAATGTTCTTGTTTTACATTCATCTAGCTATCTTTATATCCTTTATGTCTATAACCATTTAACTAAGTAGCAACAAGGATGTAAACATGTCTTGGATGATAGTTGATGAAAAGGGTCTTAGGCCTTGATCTCCAGGAAACATCCCCCCTTGAACCTTCTTCGAATTCCTTTTACACAGGTTCTCTGAGAGAGAAATGAAATCTTCATAGAAATCATGCATTTTTCATTTCCCTGTACTAGCCCAGAATACTCCCCATTTTGAAACACAGAGATTTGAGGGTGGAAGTTATAGGAAGAACTGGAGATGGGGAATGGGAAATGAAAGTTCAGGTTAGAAGAATTGGAGGAATATGGCTGTAGCATATGTACTCAAACTACCCATCCTCTCAACTTAAGTATATGACAGCCAACTGCATGTCATTATATTTTGTTAATTTTAAGTCAGAATGCACAGAAAGTACTTTCGTGTTTTATTCCCTTCTCTCTCTCTTTCTCTCTTCTCTCCCTCTTTTTTCTCTCTGTCTTATTCCCCCAACCTTCCTGGGGGCACTTAAAGAAAACAGGAGGTTGATATTAAAATGATCGGTAAATGTGGAACAGTTTGGAAAGCCCCTCTCATATCTTCTGTGTAGTGCCAGAATCTATTTATAAATAATTGGGGGATTGGAAGTTAATTAAAGACTTCTGAGGCAGATACCCTTTAAAAAGAATGGGATGGGGATGATAGGTGGTACAGTGGATACAGCACCAGTCCTGGAGTCAGGAGGACTTGAGTTCAAATCTAGCCTCATTCATTTACTAGCTGTGTGACCCTGGGCAAGTCACTTAACCCTGACTGCCTCACCAAAAAAAAAAAATTAAAATTAAAAAATAAAAAATAAAAATAAAAAGAATGGGGTCCTATCAGGTCAGAAGAGACTAGATCAGGGACTAGGGGCTAGACAACAAGAGAACTTGAGTATTAGAAATAATGACCAGATATAATTGTACATGTATAGCCTGTATTAGATTGCATGCTGTCTTGGGAAGAGGGGAGGGGGGAAATTTAGAACTCAAAATCTTATAAAAGTGAACGTTGAAAACTAAAAATAAGTAAATTAAAATTTTAAAAAATATAATGACCAGACTGGACAGAGACCTATTTCTCAAGGTATACAAAGTACATCCTGTCCCTATGCCCACCCTTAGTTTGGTGGGCTTTAGGATTTCACTTCATTTCACTGTAGCAGAGGTTAAGTGGGAGCTAAACCAAAACTGATCAATTCTCTCTTCCTCTTGGCTCCCCAAATTCTTAACCATGCTCTCTACCTTAAGTCAGTGAGGATGAAATAAAGCCTCAGCCCTTTCTTGAGAGATAAGGGACATTATCAGGGAATTCTTAGGGAACAGCCAATTATGACAGATATGAAGGCAAAAGAAAAGAGACTTGTAGCTATCTCAAGGAGACCCTAGGAAACTTCCCTTTCTCACTTAAATCCCTCATTGTCCCAAATTCCTTTTCACCGTCCCCCAGACTCTCCATTCATGGTTCAGAGTTTCTCTTCCAAATAACTCAAAAAGAGTATCGTGGTGCCCCATCCACTTCCCTACACAAAGGAGCAAGATGCATTAAAGGAAAGAAAATGTAAGAACCAAAAAATCTCCTACATTTCCCCCCTCAAAAGACCTTTCAGAATGTGTGGAATAAAGCTTGGGAGGGTGGTGTCATCTCCCAAAGGCTACATGGGAAAGAGATGAGGGTAGGGGAAGGAATTAAAAGAAAGTTTTACCTTAAACCAGAGGGAGTTTCTTCAGGGACTCAGTTCAGGAGTTTGCTAGGGGGCTCCCAATCCAGAGAAGGATGCTCTCGGCTCAGCTTCAATAGCTTCTTGCAGCTGTCAACACCTGGGCTGACGGGCTTCAGAGCTGGTTGGTGTCCAGGCTTGGTGGAAGCAGTTTCGTACTCACGCCCACCACTGTCGGGCAGTGGGAAAGAGAGGAGGGTGCCACAGATACAGCTCAGCTTTCTCCCCTCAGCCCCATCCTGTATAACCTTCGAATACGCAAACCCCTTTAGGCTTTGGGAGGGTCTCCAGATCTAGGGTGTGCTCTCCAGGCCCTGACTAAAGCCTGGTTTTCCAGGGGGAAGTTTCTGTTTGTTCTTCTTTTTTCCTTCTTTTTTTCTATTGAGAGAAATCATCAGTTAAAGACAGATTCCCTGGGGCAGGGGGCAGACAGCCGAATTCCAAAAGGTTTTCATAAGAGCCATCTGCCGTGGTCAGCAGCTGGCGACAGACAGAGAGAGAGAGAGAGAGAGAACGAGAAGGAAGCGAGAAAAACAACAGAGCCCTTCTGTTCCCTCCCACTGCTGCTAGAGAGGATGAGGACTCTTGTGCCTCTCTGGTGAGATCAGGGAAGAGCAAGAGAGGGGGTAGGAGCAGGAGAGGGAGGGGACAACATACTGTCCACCCAGCACTCCCGGAGCTTTCAGTGTGTTTTGCTTGCAATTGACTCATTTCATGCCAACGTGTATTTTGGCTTTTTTTTTTTTTTTTTTTTTTTTTTGCCCTTGTTCCCTCCTGGTGCTCTTAGCCCCTGTTCTCCTTTCCCCGAGCCTTTGCTGTGTCATTTTTGAGCCCTAGACAAACTTGTTGAGCTCTCCTTGTACAGCCTTACACCCAGTGGTAACTGAAAACATAGCACAGTCAGTCCAAGACTCCTGAGTTCCAGTGCTTAGGCCACGTCCCCACTACTATCATTCCCATTAATAACCAACTTAGGGAGCATCAAAGAAGAAGTAGGGGTTGAGAGAGGGAAATAAAAAGATAGATAAGTAAATGAAAACGTGTGAAGGGGCAGTACATTGGGGTAAGGAGGGTAGGATGAAGGTAAATGGGGACTCCTGAGAAAATAAGTGACAAGGAGGTAGGAATTCCATTTCTAAATTCTGAGGGGACCCTAAGTTCAACTGAACAATCGTTAAGTGACTATGAGTCAGGCATTGTGCTAGGTGCTAGGTATACAAAGTACCCAACAGAAGTCTTGAAAGGGGATGAACTAAGTTGGGAGTGGGTGGAAATTCTGGGTCTTAGAAGGGCAAGCGATGAGTTAGGGTGGCAAGAAGTCATTAGGATCATAGAAGACTGAGAGCTGGAATGTCCCATAGGTACCTCAGACTCAACATTTTCAAAATAGGACCCTTTCTTTTTCCCTCTAACCTACCCTTACTTCCAGACTTCCCAATTTCAAAAATGAAAGTCTCTGTTTTCAAGGTCACATTCTACCCAGGGATACAAGACATATACAGATAAGTATATAGCAACAGAAGGTGTCAGTCAGTCAACAGGCATTTTAAAAGAGCCTATATGTGCTAGGCACGGCTAGGTGCTGAGGATACAAATAAAAAAATGAAGCAATTCCTATTCTCAAAGAATTTACATTCTGCTGGGGGAGACAACAAGTACACGCGTAAGTAGGTATGAAATAAATATAAAGAAAATAAATACAACATTGTTAAATACGAAGTAGCTTGGGAGGGAGGACACTAGTAGCGGAGATCAGGAAATGCTAAATGTAGCAGCTGGAGCTTGAACATATCTTGAAGGAAGAGAGGGATTCTGAGGCAGAGGTGAGACAAAAGTACATTTTGGGCATGTGGTGTAGCCAGTACAAAGACAGAGAGATGAGAGATGGAATGTGTTATATGAAGAACAGAGAGAGGGTGACTTTGGCTGGATTAGTGTGGGAAGGGGAGAAATGTTCAAGGAGGCTAGAAAGATAGCTGGAGACAACGTTGTACAAGGCTTTAAAAGCTAAATAGTGAAGTTTATGTTAAATCCTGGAGTCAGGAGGGAACCATTAGAATTTATTTAATAGAGAATAACATGGTGAGGCCTGTGTTGAAGGCAAATCACTTTGGCAGATGTATGGAGGTTGGACTGGAATAGGGAAATATTTAAGGCAGGCAGATTAATCAAGAGACCTTTGCAATAACGTAGGCAGAGGTTATGAGGGCCTAAGCAGTGCTAGTGGCAATAGAAATAGAAGAGGTCCAAAGGGAGAAATGACATGGAGATAGCTACAGCAAGACTGGCAGCTGACTAGATGGGTAGAGTAAAAGAGAGGTAGGAAATGAGGAAAATTCACATGTTTCTGGGAGACTGGAAGAATGCTGATATATTCTATAGAAATAGGAAAGTCTAGTTTTGGGGAGAAAGGTATTTAGTTCCTGGTTTGCATATGTTAAATTTAAGATGTCTCTGGGACATCAAGTTCGAAATGCCTAGTTGGCCCTTGGTGATACCCAGGGAAAGGCTAGAGTTGGATATACAGATCTAAGAGTCATCTGCATAAAAATGATAGTTAAACTCTACAGGAATTAATATGGTCACTGAGAGAGAATAGGTTGACAGAAAAGAGAAGAGGATCCAATACACAACTATGTTCACCAGCAGTTATGGAACATGATAAGAATGATGAGCCAGCAGAGGATTCTGAGAAGAAGTGGTCAGAGACGTAGAATGAGAACTGAGAGAGACCAGTGTGCTGAAAATATAGGAAAGAAAAGGTACAGTACCTAGTTAACAGTGTTTAATGCTTCAGAGAGGTCAAGGAGGATGAGGACTGAGAATCAGATTTGGCAGTCAAGAAATCCTTGATAAACATAGAGAGAGCAGTTTCATTTGAGTGATGGTTTGGTAACCAGACTGCCAAGGGTTGAAAAGTGAGTGTGAGAGAGGGAGGCAACCAATAGACACAGTTATTTCCAGGAGTTTGGCTGAAAAGAGAGGTAGAATTTTAGGATGATAGCCTGAGGGGATGATAGGGTCTAGTGAAGGGTTTTGGATTGTTTTAAGCCTAATATTAAGAGCCACTGCTGGGCCCAAGATATTGAGGCACTGTGTCCACTGTCTCCACTAAGGTGTCCCCTCTCTGCTCTGAACACATGCCCATGGCCCAGACCAGGTTCAGTCTTGAGGGAATGTGATTACTTAGAAGAAGGGACAGGATTTTTTTTTTCTCATACACTTTAGCTCACTGAGCCCCTACCTTGGCAGTCTGGGGACATATTATTTACAATTTAGGTTTTGACTCATGTATAGTTCTCCTCAAAGGGGGAAATAGGAAGTTATTCAATGTACGATACAAATAAAGTATGAGACAGGTTTTTCTACATAGAAAAGAAATGCTAAAAGACACAAAAGACTCTCAGCAGACATGGACAATAACCAGGGAATTGGTAACATATTTTCTATCTCATTGTGCCAGGAGGTTGAATCATAGATATCAGAACATGATGCAGTTTACAGAACCACTGATCAGTCATTTCACATTTTACTTTGTCTTTGCACTCTCTCCCTCAAAGCCCATCTTTTTGGTTAGGTCAGGAGTAACTGATGATGGTACTCTCCCTGATACAGGAACTGCTCCTGTCAATAGAAGGGTCCACCTAGTGAACTCAGGACCTCTGGATCTCTCAAACTAACAAAGTCATTTGACCCTGAGCAAATCACTTAACCTCACCCAACCTCAGTTTCTTGTTGCTCAGTCATTTCCAACTCCCCCGACCCCATTTTGGTGTTTTCTTGGCAAAGATTTTGGACTTGTTTGCAGATTACCTCTCCAGCTCATTTTACAGATGGGGAACTAAGGCAAACAGGGTTAAGTGACTTGCCCAGGGTCATACAACTAGTAAAGTGTCTGAGGCCAGAATTGAACTCAGGAAGATGAGTATTCCTGATTCCAAACCCAATGCTCTATCCACTGTACCACCAAGCATCCTTCAACTTCAGTTTGCTCATCTGTAAAATGGAGATAATAATAGCACTTAGCTCACAGGGTCATTGTGAGGATCAAACAAAATAACTAAAATAAATGAATGAATGAAGTGCTTCCTAAACCTTCAAGCACTATAAAAAAATGCTAGCTATGGATTTATTTTTGCTGTTTGGTCGCTTAATTAGGAAGAGAAACTCAGAACAGCATAGGTAGCCAGATCGGGGGCTCAGGTGCAAGCTCGTCTAGTGGGAATCCCCCTAGTTTCTCGGCCTTCCTTCAAGGCTCAGCTGAAACCTCACCTTCTGCCAGAAGCCTTTCCCAATCAATCCCTCTTGACGCTGGTGATAATGCATCTCTCCTACATCGGATAGGCTGGATACATACGTTTCCTGCATGTACAGTATCTTGTTTGTACATGACCATTTACTTATTGTCTCCCCCATTGGATTATGAGCGCCTTGAGAGCAGGGGCTGTCATTTGCCTTTCTTGGATCCCCAGCGCTTAGCACAGTGCTAGTTGACTGACTGACTGACTGACTGACAAGTGGCCCCCTCACCCCTTAGCAGAAAACCTCAGGGTTTTATTTGTTTGTTTTGCTTTTTAATGTCACCTGCAGGGTAGAAGGAAGAAATCAGACTGGAAACCGTCTCTTTTCAACTAATGCGGCAATTCCACCCCTTGAAAACTCAAGTGGTCAAAATGCTCTAGGACTTTTTGAGGCGGGAGGTCATTTTGTTCTTTTGGAATAAGGACTCCCCTGGAAAACCCAGGGAGGGTCCCTGTTCACTGTTCGCTATGTAACACACAAGACGACTGTCTCATGCTTTGTGAACCAGAACTCTATGGACAGGCTTGGACTGAGTAGAAAAGGACAGAAGTCAAAGTTTGGGTGCTCGTGGCATATGCAAGCATCCACTAAGTATTCTCTTCGGAAATGAACCTCTCTGTCTCCTCCTCACTTCAACGTTTCCTCAAGCCTAACGTACTACATTTCCCAGCAAGCCCTGCGCCAACCCGGGACGCATTCCAGCCTCCGAAACCGCTCTATGGGCGGGGCCGAGGAAGAGGCGGCTCAGGACGTGGCGAGAAACAAGGTTCTCCATCCTCTGAGGGGCGGGGTGACGTCGGGCGACGTGAGCGGTCCGATGACGTGCCCCCTCTTCGGGCAAGGGGCGGGGTCGGTACGCGGTGCGTGTGAGCCCCGCCCCCCTCCCCTCCTCGAGCCTCGAGCCTCGCGCCTCCCGCCGGCTGCCTGTGGCCTCCGGGCTCGGGGCGGGGCGCGTCGTGGGCAGCTCGAGGGGCAGCTCGAGGGGCTGTGGAGGAGGCTGCGCCCGCTCGAGCTCCGCCATGGAGCGCTTCTTGCAGGGCTGTCGGGCCGCCGTGCAGGTAACGGGGCCGGGGCCCTCCCCGTGAGGGCGGGGCGGGGCAGGGAGGTGAGGTGAGGGAGGGGACCCCGACCTACGAGGGGCACCGAGCCGGGCTGCCATCCTTCCCGTCCCTGCGGGTCCCGGGCTCGCTGTCATGGGCGCCCCTCCCCCCGGGGCCGAGCCGGGGCTCCTTGGGGTTCCCCGTCCGGCCCCCCC